CTCTTCCTATCATTGTGAAGCAGAATTCACCAAGTGTTGGATTGTTCACCCACCAACAGGGAACGTGAGCTGGGTTTAGACCGTCGTGAGACAGGTTAGTTTTACCCTACCGATGCACCGCCGTCGCAATGGTAATCCAACCCAGTATGAGAGGAACCGTTGGTTCGCACAATTGGGAATTGTGCTTGGGTGAAAAGCCAGCGGTGCAAAGCTACCGTGCGTGGGATTATGACTGAACGCCTCTAAGTCAGAATCTGTGCTTGCAGCGAYGGCGTATGCCTCCTCGGATGACACAAGGCTGTCGATAGGGCCAGCCCGTCTGGSCCCGAAAGCATAAGKTCGGAGTTGTCCATCCTGCGGCGGAGCACCGGCGCCCTGGTGGTCCCTTCATCGCAATTTCTTTCGCTCGGGGAGTCRAACCCTTTGCAGACGACTTAGACAAGGAACAGGGTGTTGAAAGCAGTAGAGTGGCCTTGTCGTCACGATCTGTTGAGATTCGGCCCTTTGTTCCAAAGGTTTCCCCCACCTTCTGGCTCCCCACCCCTCCTCAAATGTTTGAACGACGGTCATCCGCGTCTCAAGAGAGTCGCCGCCCGTGTATAGGGGCCGATGAGCTGCTTGCTTCTTTTTTTTTTCCCTTTTTTTTTTTTTCAGTTTTGCTGCTTCCGTCTGAAGCCTCTTTTGCCCGATGCGGTACTCGACTTTCGCTCAAAGGAGAACTGTGCCGAGCCCATGTTGGGGTGGGTGCCACGTTGTAAGCTTCTGGCCACTGAGGCGTGCCATCTGTCCGAAAGCATGGATATGTGTCCGCGTGTCTTCBTGTACTTGACCCGGTGGGCGTTTGTGCATGCCACATTGTCCGATGTCGCCCCATAACGCCTGCCACTCTTGGCTGCATGGAGCTCTGGGACCAAAGGCTGGATCGACGTGAGTGCCACATTGTACACCTACTCACGATATGGCGGGCGATCTTTGTTTCAGTAAAAAAAAAAAAGCTATTCTTCAAGTATTCAAACAAAATGCAAACGTGAACTATGTACATACGTCTATAATGTTATGTATATGACTTTTTTTTTTTTCCCTATTGGATTCACCTTTCTTTTATGATGAAAACAAAACTCTCAATCTTCTCATTCTATCGATAAAAGTTTGCTCAAGAAGTATTCAATCAATTTAACGGAAGATTTTTGGTAGAGGCGGAGAGATCGTGGGTGTCCGGCCCCCCCTGCGTACAAGCATAATCGTGGTGGGGGCGCGCGAAGCATGCCCCTGGTGTTTGGGACCTGGAAAGCCAATTCTCACCCTATCTTGCCCTCCCCATGTGTGTGCGTAATATCATGGCTTGGGAACAAAATACCCAGTTCTTGCCCTACGTGCCCCTCGCCACGCGACTGCGTAGTCATGATCTTGGTGGGGCCGCGCGCCCCCCAGCTTTGGGAACAGAAAGGCCACTTCCTGCCCTTCGTGCCCCCCCCCCCTCCGCCCCCACGCGTGCGCCCAATGATGTTCATGGCGGGGGCAAACGGCCCACTTCCTGCCCTATCCGGCCCTCCCCTCGCGTGCTCGTGATCATGGCGGGCTGCTTCACTAGGGGCAGTACCTGATTGGCTCCATGGTGTTCTCTGGGACATGCACGGAAATGCTTATGGCCGTCGGGTTTTCGGCCTCGCTTSTTCTGCCGGATGCAATTTTTTTCGGGGCCGACATAAATTGAAATGGCGATTTTGTCAAGTCATCCCTGACTTTTCTTTCGCCCGTTCTCTTTCTGGAGTACGTGTTCGGTCATGTTCGCCAACACGTAACCCCACAACGGACGCACGATTCTGCCAGACTTCCCGTACACTTTTCACTCCCACACTGCGGCGTGATCTGAGTCGCTAGGCACAAAAGCTGCTTGGCCTTTTCTCTGTTTGTTTCGTTCCTTTTTGTTTTTTTTCTTCTTTTATTTTTAATTTATTATTTTTTTTTCCTTGGCCCTTCCCCTTATCCCTTTGTGTGTGGAAGGGACGGAGATGGGACGGACTTTTGAGGTGTCGAATTTTGTGGGGGCAGCAGATACCGCGCACTGCCACTCGGGCGTAGGAATGGCCCTGAGAAAAGGGGGTCTCCCAGGATCGAAGGTCCAGAGGCGTCTTATTGAGAGCAGAAAGGGATGAGGTCCCGAGGGGGACATCGCCATTGGGGTCTGTTCAGTCAGCTTGCTGGAAAGGAACATGTGCAGGTCCCTCCGCGGATGGCTCAGTGAGCACCCTCCAGATGTGCCAAACAGTCGGTGGTTGGCGGTTCGGAGTCCCGTTTGCACTCTTATAGGGGCCTTCATGCTAAGCAGCCCCCTTGCAGTCGATGAAGGCGGAGTTCTGGGCATGGGTTTTGGGAGCTTGTACTCGAGTTACGAGGGACTCTCTGTACACGCTTTGGGTGGTTTCAAGTTTGCGAGAGACAGGGGAGTCGTTCTTTGGTGGTCGAGCGAACATTTTTGCGGCGCCGTGCGGGTCCATGG